AAAACACAGCGAATGTATTCTTAAGGGCTTGGGTTTAGCATAAAGATAAATTCTGTGTATTGCTAGAGGGAAAATTCCTAAAAAAAAGGCATATTATGCCATAGAATAAGCTTCAGGAAAAATCATAAATCTTCTGTTTGGGGCCTTTAAAAAGGGAGGAGGAGAAAAAGGAAGGCTTGGCTTGCCAGAGCTGGGTGGCTTATTGCGTGTAAGAGTTTATTGTCTCTAACTTTTGTAATGAAGAGGGCTCGTTTGGTGCCATCCAAATATGGCATATTGCAGGGCCCGTGTCCCGCCCTGTGCTGTGGCACTTTGTGGAGTAAATTGGGCTGTTACACAACACACCTCAAGCACAAAGCCAGAAAAGGGGTTTATGACCCACTAGGCTGGTCTCCCACGTAAGGGAGGGGACTTCAGAAAACTCAGTTTTGGAATCAGTTTTGCAGGTGAGAGATTTGTGCTGCTTTTAAGCATTGTGCCTTCCCCCATCCCATGGCCAAGGCTCCCCAAGGCGCGTTCCAAGATGAGCTGGAGTGGTGCATTTCGCAGCTGGAGGCAAATCTTTGCCTCAGCCTCACCCCAAAACAAGGTATGTTGCCTCTTTCACAGTCCGCAGCCATATTCCAACCTCGGTTCTGATTCAGCAGGCCTGGATGTTTTTCTGTTTCTTCTCTGCCATCTGTTTCCTATTCTTGTGTTATATGTTTTGTCTAAAAACAAAACAACACAAAGCATTGAACTTTAAGAGCTATCTGTCTGGAAGCAGCTTTATCTTTCATTCCTTTTTTCTGTTTTCTTTCTCATGTTCTCATTTTCCTCTCTAAGGGCTTATTGTTTTGTTCTGCTACCAATTGTGTTTTCCAGTCTTACGGAAGTACCGTGTCAGTGTGTCTGGCCCTTAAACACCAGTTGGTTTATTTTTGTGAGGCTTGTTCCTCATTGTTCTTGTTCCAAGGACAAATTACATGAAAGATAAAATCCTATAAAATACTTTTCAGTAGACCACAGTTTGGTCTAGTCAGTCCTACTTGTAAGTATATGAGGACGTAAGTCCTGCTCCTACTGGTGGCTAGTCCTTCACATTTAGAGGAGGGGTGTAGCTGCCCTTTGTAAGATGCCTAGATGAGTGTTTGCTGGTGCACATGAGGATGTAGTGGTGATTAATACGTGCCCACACACCATGCTTGAGCACCAGACAATTTTGTTACACCCGTTTCTTGTGCTCAGTACCTAGTGTCCAGCAGCAGCAGGGGAGGCTCCTGGAGGGGAGGCAGGAGGTGCACGCAGTGACGAGGCAAGCAGAGGCAATGACTTGGCCAGAAAAGGGCCCATTTGCACAGTACCTGACCCAGGAGAGCAAAGCAGTAGTGCTGATGGTAAGCAGGCTCTGCCTGGAGCCCCCGTCACCAGAGAAGTTGTCAGTGATGAGGAAGATCCAAGGTCTAGCGAGGAATTCAAGTCCATGGGTCAGGCTTGAGGTCTGGATCAATGAGGTACCTGGCTGCAGCAGCGCTATGCATGAGATCCTCAGCTTAAAATAACTCCCAAGAGAGGGAAGAGAGAGGTTCCCCTGAAGTTTTTTTTCTAGCTCTTACTATCAAGAAGGCCCTTGCATGCAGCCAGCTAAACTCCTCGGAGTAGTGGGGTGTGTGTGCTCAGAACCCTGACACCCAGGGGCTATGAAAGGCCTGTTTTTCTGGGTGGCTACAGCCCCACTGTGGCATTTCTGCCTTGCACTTCTGTGCTGTTACGCTGTTCCTAGAATGGGACTCTGTGTTGGATTTGCAAGATAAACCTCACTTGGAGAGTCCCAGAGAGGTGCACTGCAGCCAAGAGAGATGCGTGTGTGTCCATTCCAAAATATGAGTCTAGTACATCAGGGGTTTTTTGTGGCTTGAAATGTGCAAGACAAACACCAGAAGACTGTGTATATCTGCAGTTCCCAAATGGAGGTCTTTGGGGACTGCTGTCACAGAAGAGCAACGATGCTTTTTAGAGAATTTCCTCTGACACAAAGAAGTGGGATTACTGCTGTGGTCAGACTGGTTTGTATGAGAGTCAGGCAAGAGCCCTGCTTTTCAGGGTGTGCTCACTACTCAGTAATTTTTTTTCCAGTTTTCCAGAGAAGAGACCCTGAGCAAGGCTCTTGGATTTGTCAGTCACTTTGGGGGAAAGGTTGTTAAGCCCTGTGTAGCTTCTGTGCCATTGGTAGTGTGCTTACTGCAGTGTAAGATTCTTAACGTGTATAATAAGCAGTTAAGATTTTTTTTCTTTTCCCTTTGAGAACATTTCACAGTATTTCAGCTTCTAGATGCACTTGGAGTTCCCTTTCAGCCAAATGCCAGTCATGGATTAGTCAGAAGTGGTATGAAGGCAGAACGTGTTCAGAGGAGACCCAGTCATCAGCATCGCAGAAAACAGTTTGTAAGGCCCACCATAACTTGCTTCTTGTCTCTCTTGCTCTTTTTCTTGAGTGCAGCAGAGGAGATACAGCATGTTCTCAAGGTCCTGCGCTCCCATGAGACTCCTTTTCTGAAGAAGGAACAAGTGATGAACCGTGTGTTTGGGGATTATTGTCTCAAGATGGCTGAGGATCAGAAGAGCACGGAGAAAGCAGGTGAGCTGAAACTGTCCCTCCAGGGGATGGTGATATTTGGTTATTTTCTGTAGATTTCTTACATTGCAGCTTTTGATTGGATCGCCTTTCTGTGGCAGTGCCTTAGGGGGGGAGTTGCAGTAGCAGTAGCATCCCTGTAGCAGGAAACTGGCATATTGATGGAAACATTATTCTGTATCTTTTCTAGACATGAAACTTGGTGATGTACAAGTACAGCAAAGCAGCGGGCAGGCTTCAGATGGTGTGGTGTATGGGAAACAATCTGACCAAATCTCTGAGGCAAAGCCAAAGTGGTTCATGCCATCTGACAACAGCTTCCGATTTGATTTTAAATTTTCTGAGGTTGACCCAGAAGCAACTGGCACACCTTTGGAAGCAGTCCCCGGTGTCAGTGGTGCTGAGCAGACACAAACCAATGTAAGAGCCACTGAGCAGGAGAACTGGAATGGAGCCTTGAGTTCTGCTGCCTCTGGACAAGAACCCAAGTTTGCTTTCAACTTTGCCATCCCAGATGAAGACTGTCCTCTGGTTCAGTTAGTTCCAGCAAGCCAGCATATCGAGCGTACAGCAAATTGTGAAGTGCTGGCTGATTCCCTGCCTGCTGAATCAGCAGGTACGCCACAGATTTCAGCCTTGCAGAAGCCGGAGTTGACTCATGCTACAGGTAGTGCACTCAAAGAGGACAGAAGCCATGTCATCTTAAAGGTCCCCCAACCAGAGACTGCTCCTGGAGATGAGACTGTGACAGAGAAATCCACAGCAGATGGAGTTGCCCAGAAGAAGAGAAAGAAGAAGAAACAAAAAACTTCCATCAGTAAAAAGGAGGTAGAAGAAACTGAGATCAATAGGAAGGCAAAGGCAGAAGCTAACACATGTCAAAAGAAGGATACGTCCCACCAGGATGAGACCTCTCAGGTATTTAGATATTGATGGGATCCCATAATTTATAAACCTTTGAGCAAAAGAGAGACTTTATCTCTTTGCATAGTTTTAATAGTTGGTATACTGGCTTGAGAGGAAAGCTGAAAGACAAGGATTGCTGCTTATTTCTTGCAGCAGTTGTTTCCTTTCTGTGCTGGACAGTTGAGGAACCTAACTGCAGCCCAGATTCGCACGTTACAAGGCAGAATGAATTACTCACATAATGCAAATAGGAGAGCTGAGGTGCAGAGCTGCTGCCTGCTGTAGCAAAGGCTGTGGCAGGGTCTGGTGCAAAGCTCAGGGGTGCTTCTGAGAAGGTTCCCACTGTAAGGCATGGCCCAGAAATTGTCTGAAGTGCAGGTTATGTGTAAACACACTATTAAGGCACACCCTGAGGTTTTCTAATGTTATTGTAAGGTCCAGGTCTTAATTTTATTTTTCTTTTCAGCACTGGTGTAGTTGTTACTGACAATGCCAGCTGAGCAATACTGAAATATAAAATTACAAAAAACTTACTTTCATTAATATTTCACACGGAAGTGTCACTGAGTGTTCACCTGCCTCTTGAAACATTCCATCCAAAGTGCTGAGTACTGGAAAGGTAGAAAGATGCGAAGGTGATGTAAAGCCCTTCCAGTCCCTTGGAAGGAGATGATTGTAAGGAAAAGGAGGAGACACCATCGGAGCTTTTGTGTTTACGTGTACATAACAGTTAAGAATTGCTTCAGCCCCAGGGTGCAGCCCTGTTTCCCTCTCCCTTCCACTGCTCAGTTAGCCAGCTGGCTTTGATGGGACTTGGCTTCTTCCATCTTCATGGGCTTCAGCTTCCTTCTCCTCATGAATTTCTGGTTGAACAAGCACACGGGAGCTGAGACAGCAGGACTCAGCTTCTGATTTTGTCCATTGGTTGCTTTTTGGTTTCAGGCAGGTTTGGGGGTAGGGGTTTTTTTGTTGTTAATGCTTATTCCTCCTGTCTGTCAGTTGATTTGACAGCTTTTTTCCAAGGAAAGGCCCTGGATAGCTTTCCAGAAGACAGCATCATCTGAATGGCAGCCAAATATTAAATCCATCAACTAGAGGCAGTGAGTTGCAACTAAACATTTGTTCAGTGCTTTAAGTTTATCCAATGAAAAACACTGTTGGGAAAATGTCATGAAGTCTATGAAGTGATCACCAGAACATGAAATTTGGAATAGTCCTGACTTTATGCAGGTGCTTTTTTTCCTGTGTAGCAACTGCTGCTTTAATTTTTGGATGACTTCATTTCCTTGTGCTCTGCTCCATGTTGCATAGCAGTCAGATGACCAGCTGTGGGAGGAGGTGGACTGGTGTGTGGAACAGCTGGAACTTGGCCTGAAGACACAGAAATCTACTCCAAAGCAGGGTAAGCATTCGAGTAAACGAGAGATCTGCCCTGTGGGAGGGGTTGGCAGGCGTGCAGACACAGGGCCGGTGGGGAGTTTTAAACTGCGTGTTGTTTCTTCTTTGTGCTGCTCCAGCTGAGGAGGCTCTCCGTGCAATCAAGACACTGCGCAGTGACAAGGCTCCACTGGTGAAGAAGCGTCAGCTTATGAGAGTCATGTTTGGAGATTACAGGAAGAAGATGGAGGAGGAGCGGCGCAAAGAGCTGAAGCTCATGGAAGCAGGTAGGAGAATTTTGCATCCTGCCCTCTATTGCTTTGCAGAGTTGAGTTGGAGTTCACTATATGAGATGACTAAACATCTCTGCTCTTTTCTTCTCTCTTTAAGCTGCAAAATCTGCTCGGATTGTGGAAGTGAAGAGAAACATCCACAACAAGAACTACCAGTTCATCCGGAAGCACTCAGGAGCTTGCAGGAAAAGCCAAAGTTCAGCAGAATCCCCTTCAGAGCCACCCAGGACACTTAACACAGACTTATTCAAATCCACAACTTCCGAAGAGGAGTTTCGCTTTAATTTCTTTTAGGAAAGTATTTTAGACCAAAACTGGCTAAAAACTGTGCCAAAATTATTCAAATGGAAAAAAGAATCTCTCTGAAAGAGGATGCTTGCTTTAGGAAATACAGAGTGCCTTATCTAGATGTTTTAAACAGATCTGCCCACTACGCGTATGACCCCAAGACTCAGTCTACGTGGTACTCCTCTGTCCTCGCACTGTGGAAAGGCACCTTTGCAAAAGATCAGCAGAGTCTGGAAGGATCTGTATTTCTTCCTGTAGAACTGATACTAACCTAAGAATCTGTCTTTTGTACTGGGAGATTTTCCTATTCTCTGACTGCTTTTAAACAGACCAGACCTTTGTATAGCAGATGAGGCAGTGATGTGTGCTGAAGGGAATGGTTTGCAATAAAGATCCAGCAGTGTAAGCATGATGGATAGTTGAATGCTTCCACCCCATAGGAGTCTGTGTGAATGCACCTTCTAGTATCCAGAAAGTACTGGGCAGTGTGTATCATTGCTGCCATCTAGAGAGTACGAGTTCAGGATCTTGGAGGAAAATGAGTGACACCATCCTTGCTCGTTCATCTCTTTAATTCGCAGGTATAGATGTAGAAGAGAACTGCAAATGCTGATTTAATCTAGCCTAGGGATGTAAGGACAGTTGTTTCCAAACGGGGGAAGATTTTTGTTGCTGAAGCCAGGTTCTGGCCTGCTCTAGGAAAGATGCACGATCAGCTCTTTAAAAATGGAGTTTACTTTGTAAGTAGCCCAGTTACAACCACCAGTGACTCAGAGGATAAATCAGCTGCTTGCCAAACCTTGGCTGGTGGTGAAATGAACTGTGAGAGCCCAAAGACTGTCATGCATTTGATTTGTATTAAAATTTTGCTATGTGGACAGTTTGAAGGTGTGTCTGTGGTGTTTTGATATTGCTTCAGCCACTGAACCCATCTCCTATATTCATGCAGAAAATTTTCCCCACTCAGCCTAAAAAAGCTGAAGGAACAGAAGGCCTTTAAAAGCAAACGTGATATCAGGTGTCCCTAGGGTGCAGTGCTTTCCTTCCTTTTTATAGTCCAGTCAGTCATCCTGTATGAGAAGCAAGAAATGGGAGTGTAGGCAGATTCCAGAGTGTACTGAGAGCAGCTGGGAGATGGTGGAAAACATTTGCTGGGAAAGACTTTAAAAAACCCCTGGTGCTGGCTACAACAAAGTTATTTTATTACTAAGCTCCGATGCAGTCAGTTGCATCTGCAAGGAATTTTTTTTTGTTTGTTTGTTTTAAATATTTTGTAAAATGCCTGTCTAGGCATAAGGAGAAACTGAACCTGGGAACATGTCTGATGAGGAGAAATATGCAGAGAACACTTTAAGTCTTCTGGAAATCAATAGGTTAGAACTGGAAATCAGTAGGTTAGCAGATTATTATTTTACTTGCTGAGGAGCACTGCTGTTACTTTGACTATATGGACCAAGACTGTACAGTTATTTTTCTGGATTTTATATGAAGCATAAAAAGCTGTGTCATCAAACTTTTAGTGTTTTCATGCCATTTAAAGAGCTGCTTGTACCTGACTTTGGAACTACAGCTGTTTTCTTTCCTAGCTGGTTAGGCAGTGTATGTCTGGGAAATAGTTTTTTCCTTGTCTCAGGTAAAGCTAGAGTTGCTAAAACATAAAATCCTGTGCTGTGGAAGGCTGCAGGAGTACTCTGGGAAGAATTCTTACATAACTGCCTCGTGCTTATGCTGTTCATTAGGCATTCACAACTAGAATAAAGATACCAGTAAGGTGGACGTTTAGTGTAACCTAATCCAGGTGGTTTATTGCCAAAGAGGGCAGAGAAAAATGCATTCTAATATGTGAATGGCTCCTGTGGTTTCTCAGAGGTCTTTGCATAATGCTGACTTGCAAAGCCAGCCCATATTCCTTTCACAGTGCTTCATTATTGGAGGACTCAGAAAGTGAATGTTCATCGATGCGATACTTCATAGCCCTGAGCGTCATGCTTGACCTGGGGATTTGAGTGCAAGAGCAGAAGCTGGCTGGGTTGGTTCCACGAGTCTGCTGACGCTGGACAAGGCATTTTGCCTTTCTGTATCAGCTTCCTGTTTTGGTAGTCAAGGTGATTCCTCCTGCATTTTTTGACAGATGTCCCCAAGGTATTTAATTAATGATTGTGTCTTGAAGAGGCAACTCTAATAGTATTTTGCATCTGAAATTCCAACAGTCTTTAATTCACTCTTAAGCTGTGTAATGTTTGAAGCATCTCTGCAGCATTATCATCTGTTCAACAGGAAACAAGCAATGTTATTACAAGTTAGGAAATGCTGTCGATGCTCTATCAGTCCGTTCCCCTCTATAGGAGCCACAATGTAGCCTTGGTGACTGCCCACCTAAATGTAGTACAGCAATGCCAGGCTCAGGCTTGTAGGCAGCAAACTGCTTCCAGCGTGGTTATGACTCCGGAGTGAGTAAAAGACAAGGTGAAGAGGGAATGTGAAGTACAACAGTGCCTCTAGAGCAAAACTTGCTTAACAGTATTGGTCTTGGTAAAAGCAAAAGCTGAGGGTCAACTTCTCAAGTGAGTAACGGGATGAAGGAATGCCATAATTTTTCTCAGACTGTTCACTGTAGCAAAGTAGAGGAAAGGTCTAATTTTGGGGGAACAAAGTGAAGAATTTTAGAGTTGTTTCTGTGGCAGGGTGAACCCAAGAAGAATGTTTCCTCACAGAGGCAACAGAAATCTGGGTGTGATCTCTGCTCCTTTTAGGCTTGGCACCCTCATCTGTAAAAAGATCCCCCCCTAGCAAAGGTTAGGAAATGCAATCCTGTCCCAGACAGACCCTGCCTCCAGGGGGGAGAGAGCAGCGGATGGCCAGCCTCCCCCCTCGCAGACTGGCCTTGTCCTGGTGGCTGCTTGTCCCTGCCTCCATTTTGGCTGTTAACCTGGATACTGCGCACTAATTGATAAGTTCTTCCAATCCCTTCCCTTGGACTTGGTCAGCGGAAATGCATTTATTGGTCCCTGGGCTGCCCATCTTCTGCTTGGAGTAATCAGGGGCCAGAGCCACCAAGGAACAGCCTACAAAGGATCTCCAAGGGATTCCTGCAAAGTTCAGCTGAAATTGTCTCCTGAGTCCTAGCAGCCACTTCAACGAAGACTCCCTCTCCCAAGACCAGCAAAGACAGAAGGAAGCCAACAAACTGGTCCTACTGAATCTGTAACTTGGGTGACAATATTCCCTTCTGCCACTTAAATTTTTTTGAAGAGTACTGAGGGTAGACTGCAGATAAAATACCCTGTTCTCTTTCTTTGGGGAGGAAAACCCCAATTCTAACTTTTCTTTGAATTAGAACAAATACAATCTTACTGCTTCAATCAAGACAACAATTCGAAGGTTGTAACAGAAGTTATTTGAAGCATTGAACCTGCAGTTCCTTAGAAAAGAGGAGAGAGAGTGCTATTTTAATATCATATGGAGCTGTGACAGATGATCTTGGATCTTTCTGCTGAAGTTATTTTACTCTAAGGACTAAGTTGTTTTACTTTCTTTGCTTAAAATCTTTTGCTGCTCCCTGTTTGTGCTCCTTTCATATTTAGAACTGCAGGAAGGTTTGTAAGTCACACTGCTTTAGAAAATTGAACTTTGACGTCACCTACCGCAGTGCTTTGACTGCTGGCAGCTGTCCTTCCCGTGGATGCTGACAGCTGGGAAGGGCTGACCACCTACTGTATTTGGCCCATCTGTCTTTTTCCCTTTGAGTACATCAACAGGCACTACTCGCTCCTGGGTATCTCACCACCAAGATGGAAGAAGTCTGGGTTGTGTATCTCTGCCTGATCTTGCTTATCATGGTGCTTTTTCTAATGAAGCATAACCCGCATGTGGAAGAGGCCAAGAAGCAGAGGGAAAGCAAAAGCCCGCCGCCATCCTCTTCCTTTTTCCCCAGTAACGTTGGCAAACAACTGGAGCACACTCAGGAAGAGCTGGAGCACTATCTGGACAGGCTAACCCACGTCTTGTTTGACACAGAAGCCAGGAAAAGGGATGGCCACCATGATCAGAAGTCCCACCATCACCATCACAGAAGCGCTGACGTTATGCCTGAAACTAAGGAGCATTCAGGAAAGGAGGCAGCACGCTCTCAGCATCTGTCAAGCCACTCGAGGGTTCAGGTAGGAGGCTTATAAAGACTTTGAAGCTCAACCAGACTTACGCTCCTAGCTGAGGTAGTGAATGCTGCTGCAATGCGTAGTCAGTGAACTTGGAGGGGGAGGAGATAGGGGGGAAGTCTTGCTATTGGGAAGTATAATGCATTCCTATTTTTGCACTGCATATTCCAATATTAAGCAGTCATTCAGAGACAGCTCTATGTGACATGAGTTGTATGTTACATGTGGGAGATGTCAGTGTTGGCATTAGCATCTATGCATGTGTGTGTACCTGTATGTAAATTATTCCTTCCTATATTAACAGAAATACGTATCATTTCTTACTTCAATAAATTATTCTGCAGCTCTTCAGCTGTTACAAATCTCCCACTTTCCCCACATACAGCATTGCTTTCCCAGTTTCCCCAGCTAAGGATCTAGCCCAGTAGGGTACAGAGCTCTGCAGACCCCTGTCTAGTGGTGAATGCATGGTGTTGAGCCATGGGAAATACGGAATTTTTCTCCTGTGTGTGATGATCGTGCATAGTGTACTCTAAATGTGAAAGTCGCTATTGGCAACCTGCAAAATTCCCTTTGCCTTGGCCAAGACCCTTTTTCAGGGGATGGAACAACATGCATGCCTTTATATTTTTATCATTATCCTCATTGCAATACATCAGATTTTGCCCTTGAGATGACAGAGTTTCATGGCAGCTATGCAAGGCTGTGTTACTTTATGCTAGCAGCTGTTTACATTCTTCATTCTTGAGACACATATCTTGCAGTGCCAATGCCCGGCTCTGTCACTGAGCACGTTCTAGGTCCAGGTGGGAGCTCCAGTATGAAGCCTTCACCTTAGAGGGCAGAGCC